ACCAAGCCCCTGCCCCAAAAGCAGACGACCCCATGACAGGCATAGGAAGGTCAGCTCGAACAAACCCTAAATAAAGGGAGGGTGGGCGGGTAATCCGATGTGCGCAGCGAAAAGAGGAAGCTCAACGCTGCGCAAAGGGACCTATATAGCACCCCCATCAATCAAATAAAATTGCAGCAACCGATTTCCCCCAGCAACAATTGAAGGTGTCCAATCAAATTCGTGGCCATTCAAACTAACCCACCCAGAAACAGGGGATGTCATGGTTGCTCCCACCGCAACACGTGCTCTCCATGAAGGAGAACCCACTGTGCCTGAATCGGAAAAGGTAACAGAGTTTGGTGAGCTGGAACAGGCTGTGACAAAGAGCAATTCAGATTCCGAGGCTGAAGCTGGAGAGGAGATTGACCAAGAGGCAGAGTTGAGACAGGTCGTTGAAGAATCCAGAGAGTCTCCCTCTCCTGCTGCAACCAGCTCCCACCCCCCTCAGTCTCCTAGAACCCACAGAGAAATGAAAAGAGCAGAGATTTGTTGTGCACAGATGCAGTTTGCAACTGCTTGGGACAGACCTTGGAGAGAGGGAGCCTTAGAGCAGGCACCCCCAAACTTAACTCTCCAGCTGTTTTGGGACTTCAACTCCCATCATCCCTAGCTAACAGGACCAGTGGCCAGGGATGATGGGAATTGTAGTCCCAAAACAGCTGGAGGGCCAAGTTTGGGGATGCCTGCCTTAGAAAGTGTTGAGAAGACGGGGACCTTCAGTCTTTGCAACGGCCTCATTGGAGCAAGGCTTACTGGGAAGAGTTGGTATGATCACTAGGCCTGCACTGTTTTGGCTTCTTTGAATAAAGAGTGAACTTCACTGACACCTTGTTTTTTTATTGCTGACCTGCACTTGACTCTAGCTTCTGACAGGGGCATGCAGAGACAGAATAGGGATGGGAAGGGGCTACCACTTACCTACCGACCACCTGTTCAGTGTTTCACTGAGCAGAGGAGCAGCGACCTCAGGCAACTACAGTGCGGATGCATGGATTGCAGCTCCCTAAGCCCTTCCTTTCTCCTTCCAAAGGTGTGCTCCGGGTTACTATGGAAACCCTCTAGTGATTGGCAGCTCCTGCCAGCCTTGTGACTGCAGTGGGAACGCCGACCCCAACATGCTGTTCAGCGACTGTGACCCGTTGACAGGATTCTGCACAGGGTGCATGTACAACACGGCAGGGCCCCGCTGCGAAGTGTGTGCCCCTGGTTTTTATGGTGACGCTGTGCTGGCAAAGAACTGCACTGGTAGGTGTGCCCCCAGAGCTGGTAACTAGCTGTACTCCTGGGTACCTGTGTGGGTTTCGGAAGCAAGCGTTAGGCAGAAGTGCATTCTCACACACAGAACCGTAGAAAATTGGACTGATTTCTAATATCTCATTCCACAGCTGAATTACATTGAAACAAAATATGCTCCCCCTTCAATGGGTGAAATAAGATGCATTTTAGCTAGAAGCCAGATTGTCTTTAGCAGGCTTCCTCTCCAGATGTTTTTGGCCTACAGCTCCCATGATCCCTAGCCAGCAGGACCAGTGGTCAGGGATGATGGGAATTGTAGTCTCGAAACATCTGGAGGGCCGAGGTTGAGGAAGCCTGATCTTTAGCATGCAGTCTTTTTCTACTGTTATACTAATCTGTTATACTAAGGGACGTGGGTGACGCTGTGGGTTAAACCACAGAGCCTAGGACTTGCCGATCAGAAGGTCAGCGGTTCGAATCCCCACAATGGGGTGAGCTCCCGTTGCTCGGTCCCAGCTCCTGCCAACCTAGCAGTTCGAAAGCACATCAAAGTGCAAGTAGATAAATAGGTACCGCTCTGGCAGGAAGGTAAACGGCGTTTCCGTGCGCTGCTCTGGTTTGCCAGAAGCGGCTTAGTCATGCTGGCCACATGACCCGGAAGCTGTACGCCGGCTCCCTCGGTCAATAAAGCGAGATGAGCGCTGCAACCCCAGAGTCAGTCACGACTGGACCTAATGGTCAGGGGTCCCTTTACCTTTACCTTTTACTAATCTGCAACATAGAAATATCCCCTAAATTATGTGACTGTCCTTTTTGAAATACATTTTTGCTTGCCTTGAATCTTTCAAGTTAAGGCAAACTATGAATGAAAATAAACGCCTAGTTCATAATTTTATTTCTAAATATTTCTACTGCTGTGTGTCCCCTGTTATAAAATTATTTGGGGTTGTGTTTGTTTTTTTGGGGTTTTTTTGTATTTTCAATACAAGTGGACTTTATTATTTTTTTTAAAAAATCCTTTAAAAAATATTTTCTTCTTCTTCCCCTTGTAGAATGCAGCTGTATGCCTTGTGGGACGGAATCATGTGATTCTAGGACTGGCAAGTGTCACTGTAAACCTGGAGTGACCGGGCAGCACTGTGACCGCTGTCAGGTAAAATGAATTGAGCTTTCAGTCTATGATCAGTTTCATGTCCTATTGGGCAGAAAGTGTCATGTCAAAAGTGGAGCAAGCCCTGGCGAAGTGAACATGGTTTTGCCTGCCTCTTGTAAGCTGGAATCTTAACTCTGCGTCTTTCCCCCCCTTTAGGAAGGGCACTATGGCTTCAAAACATGTTCAGGCTGCCAGAGCTGCAACTGCGATATTGGAGCCGTGAGCGCGGATTGCCATGCCCACAATGGCCAGTGTAATTGCAATCCGGGTGTTAGTGGTTCCCGTTGCCAGCAGTGCTCTCCTGGCTACTGGGGGCTCAACACAAACGGCTGCTCAAGTGAGTCTGTTTCAGTCACTGTTAAGCATCCACTAACGTTATAAGAATTCCAAAGTCTCAAATATAAAATAAATGTCCATAAATGTACAAGGCAAACACATACATAACTATATAAACCGTGTGTCTGAATTAAGAACGGTGGACTCGTAATCTGGTGAACCGGGTTCGTTTCCCCGCTCCTCCACATGCAGCTGCTGGGTGACCTTGGGCCAGTCACACTTCTCTGAAGTCTGTCAGCCCCTCACCTCACAGAGTGTTTGTTGTGGGGGAGGAAGGGAAAGGAGAATGTAAGCCACTTTGAGACTCCGTAGGGTAGTGATAAAGCGGGATATCAAATCCAAACTCTTCTTCTTCTGTGCCTTTTCAATTCATGTTTATGTGAAGGGTTTGATCCTCATCCAATGGCGTTGAGTGGATGTGGTCGTCACCCCACTCTGCATAATATGGGAGAGAAGGATGTGACTTCATGAGTGCATCTTGTTTAAGGTTGCTCTGGCTTCTCCTGTTCTCTTTGCAGAATGTCAGTGCAAAGGAGGCTCCTGTAACCCCCGGACCGGAGAATGCACCTGCTCCAACGGCCTGACGGGGAAGCAGTGTAGCACCTGTATTAAGAAGCACGAGATCCCTGTGGTGGATGGCCCAGACAGCATGAGATGCGAAGGCTAGTCTTGTTTGCTTTGCTCAGTTCCCTGCCCACGTTCTTTGGCGTTATCAGTTCAGCAAGCCTGCTTCTTTTTGCAAGTGTCTCTGTACTGGATGGCACTGATGCTACGAAATTTCAAAACTTTTCCTTGCAAGAAATTGGGAGGTTATTGGGGAATGCTACACGGATCTTTTGCTTGTGATGGTGGTGGTTGTCTGGGGGGTTGGGGCTGGGGGGGAGTGGGGGGCAAAAGCTGGCATAACTTAGGACCCCAAAAGGCATAGATTCCAACCTGCCTGTCTTAAAGCAAAGACACTCCGTATGAGCTCATATGATTCAGACCAAAGCATACGACTACCAGACAACAGAAATGTCAAGATGCACAGTAGTTGGCTAAGTGCAAAGCTATAGGGCACTCGTGCAAGGGATGTGACTTGTATGCTGCATGTGGCTGTTTTAGTTTTTCAAAATAGGCTGCTGGATGCATTAACCAAATCAAATTAGTTTGAACCCGGGTGTTTGGCAGTTTTCTCCACGTTATTCTAGTGATTCATGGTATTCACATTCTTCTAGCCTGTGGTCAACCCTCAATAGGTTTCTTTTTACTACCAATAAATCACCTAGCAGTAGCCTTACAGCTGTTTTAATTGTTCCTTCATAAATAAAGTGCACAGATTTAATCACTTGCTAGATTACATAAAAGCAAGTGGCAACTCACAAACGCCTGTAGATCTGCTTTTTGTTTTTATAATACCCTGTGTGTCCATTTCCCATTCATTCTCTCTCTCAAGCAGAGTCCCATTCACTCTCTTGCACCCTATTAATGTACCTCTCTCATATATAAACACACAATTATTGTGATAGTATTGCCGTTCTGTTCCCCACCGACAGCTTCACCTGGTCCCTAGACTGGTGTACTGACGGGATTGTGTTTTTATTGAATATTTGAAAAGTTTCTGTAACAGCTCAGCGGCTAAGCCAATGGCAGGGGAAGACTTTTTGCAGCCATCCCTGACATCTCTCTTAGTCAAAAGGTGCTGAACCTGTATTTCTCAAAGTTTTCTTCTTTTTCTCCTGTGTTTCCTTAGTTTTTATGTTTCATTCTGATGTGTAGGATAAGTTAGGGAGAACAGTTTTTGCAAATTTGTGTGTTTAGCATTCTAAGCAGAATGATTCATTCATCTTTCTTTGGCCCATAGTAAAGGCCCTATCATATCATTCACATGTGGCTTTGATTTGGCAAGCAGATAAATTTATACAAATTTATTAACATCCGATACAGTGCAAGCTTGGCACTGTGGTTATTGGCAGCTATATATCAGCTCAAAATCACATCATGATGTTGGGCCGTGTCTTGAACTAAAACCACATGCGGGGGGGGGGGGGAGCCCACCACAATGTTGCTGGGAACTGCATCTTCTAACTATTTTATTTCGGTTGACCAAAGTAGATACTTTTCTGACTTTTGGGACCAACTTCTTTATGAAAATCTAAAGTTTTACGAGTGGGTTGTAAAAATGATTGGGCAGATATATGTATGTAGACTGTAAGTCTGGATGATCTAAAAAGATGGCCTTTTTTTCTTGGCTGCCCCCCTGTGGCACAGTGGGTCATTGTGTCTGACGGTTAATCAGAAGGTTGGTAGTTCGAGCCCACCCAAGGACAGCTGTGGGCAGGAATCTTGCATCTCAGGGCATTGGACTAGATGGCTCTTGTGGTCCCTTCCAACTCTACAATTCTGTGATTCTGATTCTATCTGGGACTGCTGAAACATAGGTCTACCCTAGCCAGGCACTCACATCTAGACTAGTCTTACAGTTTCGTTTACAGGCATTATCTAAGAGCTGTGCATTTAACTTCCCTCTCCCATCAACAGCTTGTGACAGCTGCGTGCTGCTTTTGCTGGAAGACCTTGAGGAGATCGGAAATGCTTTTCCTGCGCTCAGGAATCAGCTGACGAGCCTCAACTCCACCTCCATTGCATGGGCCCGTCTGCATAGCATCAATGGTTCTATGCAAGCCATCACTGTATGTGGAGTGTTATACTACTTATTACTCTTACCTAGTTTTTCTGTAGGACTTTTGGATTCCAGTTTCAGTCCTCTTTTTCTTTTCCTCGTTACAGAACCATCTCCGTGACTATCAGAGATCCCTAAACAGGGCCAGGCAGCAGACCAGTGAGCTGGAAGAAGAGAACACAGACTTTGTTCAGGATCTGAATGCACTTCAGCACAAGGTGTGAAGTTTTTGTGTTTTTCCCCCCTTTATCTTCCCATGTCTAGTACTACAAAAGTTATATATTATACCAGAAGTCTGCCTTCTGTTCTGTGGCACGCAAGTGAAATGAAATGGTTCCTGTCCAGAGGACCTTGGCTGTGTCCTCGCTAGAATTCCTCCTTTCTTTATGTGCCATCACCCTTTGTTATCCCAGTAGGTTTCTGTTCTGCTTTTCTGCATGCCTTGTTCTTATTTTCTCATTTCACAGCACCAGAAGTGCAGCATTATTTTAGTAAAACTTCCAGGGATTTGAGGAGGATCACATCGCTCGCACTCAGAAAACACCAGTTTGTACAGTTGGCGTGGGTGCCTGTATCAGATGGACAAGCCACAGTAGGGGCGATGTTGACAGTGACTGGGCATCCCTTGACAACTTTTTTTGCCCATAGACCAATGCAGTTATTTGAAATTTTCTTGAGTAGCCAGTTGTTTTAATTATTTCTCTCTATTGCTTTGAATGGTTTCTGTATAAAAAAAGAAGTTTTTATCTTGCTGAACACCAATTTGATGTTTTATGAGAAGGGCAGCCCGTAAATACTTTTAAAAAACCAACAATAAATAAATAATAATACAGCACTTAGAAGAAGAGAAGCCTATCAAGTAAATAAAGGCTGTTTGCTTTTTGGCCAAAGACCCCAAAAGCTGCAATCCTGCCCCCCACCCCGTGTTGTTGACATTGCCCACTTCCTTGAGTCTTTCTGGACCTCCTCTAAACCAGCCTTTTGTTTTTGTTTCTGCTTTTAGGCAACAATGACCCACAGAAAAGCAAACCAAGTTACAGATGGTACAGAAGAGAACTACCAGCATGCAGAGAGCCTTGTTCTAGATATCACTAACATTCGGTACAAACTTGATGGTGAGGCATGGCTGTAACTTTTAGGTTTTTGCATTCCTGATTTGGAAAGACATCACTTGTGTTGTGTGTCTGTCTGTCTGCCTGTCTTTCGATACTGTTTGATATTTGAGTATCCTTTAAATCAGTGGTTGGGAAATGGTGGCATTCTGCATTGCCGAACTGCAACTCCTATCATCCACCGCCAGCATAGCCAGTGGTCAGAGATGATGGGAAATGTAGATAAGCAACATCTGAAGGATTCCACGCAGAATGTGGTCTAAACCCCCCTTTAAATCCATATCAACAAAAAGAAAAGAATTCACTCTGAAACTCACCTACAGGTGGTATCTAACACCAAGAAAACTAGCGCTAATATGCCCAGGAACCTCACCAAAATGCTGGAGAGGGTGCATCTCCACAGGCACATACCTCCACATGTGGTGGGAGTGTCCCAAAATCCAACTATTCTGGACAACAGCCATACGAGAAATATGTAAAATAACTAAGCAAGCATTAGAAATCACCCCAGAATTGGCCCTACTAAACATCTTCCAAGACAATAATACCCATCTACACCACAAAGAACTTATAACCCACCTACTTTCAGCAGCCAGAAACATCATAACCAGACATTGGAGAGACCTGTCAGGAGTAAGCATGGACCAATGGTACCAAATAGTATGGGAAACAGCCCTGCTAGAAAAATTAACCAATAAACTGAAACTGACACGGAGACAAATAGAGGAAGATGCCTTCACCCCCGTATGGCTCCCCTTTATCACATACACAGCACAACAAGATAATGACAAAAATCCACCAACAGCATACAAATCAACATGGCTAATCTGAAGGATTCCAAGTTCCCCCTGCTTTAAATGGCACCTAGCCATGTCAGAGCCACTTTCCTTATTGCTAGAATTATATTTAAATTATTATTATTTAATCAGCTGGGGTAGCTCAAGTGGTAGAGCATGAGACTCTTAATCTCAAGGTCATGGGTTCAAGCTCCATGTTGGGGAAAAGATTCCTGAATTGAGGGGGTTGGACTACATGACCCTTGTGGTCTCTTCCAACTCTGCAGTTCTTTGATTCTATGATTACCCACCCTTAAACAGCAGGTCTCATGGCAGGTTACAACAATTTAAAACATAACGTTATCAACAGTCGAAACAAATCTCAAGGAACAGGAATAGGGGAAGTGACCCAGAGGAAAGCGAGCCAGTGGTAGGGAAGATAAACCCATATAAAGCATCCTGAAACAAATGGGTCAGAATAATATGAAAGTGCTTTTCATTGGTTGTGTATAAAAGGACCAGGTTTACTCATTGGCTTCACTAAAAATACGAAACGAAACAGTGTGGCTTTTTGTCTAGAAATTGTATGCCAGATGCAAATCTTCGCTGCCGCAAATGCCAGCACCACCACCACAGAGGAGTTCCGGCAGAAGTTGGCTGAGGTCGATGCAATGCTGAGGCATATGAAGGCCACGGATTTTAGTTTCCAAAGAGCAACAGCCAATGAGGAACACGACGAAGCCCATAAATGTGAGTATAGTATTAATGGCAAACAAGGAGTCTCTCTCTCTCTCTCTCTGTGTGTGTGTGTGTGTGTGTGTGTGTGTGTAGACTTTGGGAGTGCCAAGGTCCTGGTTGTTACTATTGTTGTTGTTGTTGTTGTGTTGTTGTTCAGTATGAATCACCTCATGAGGCATCGCAGAGTGATTTGCAATGTAATAAGAGCATGTGTGAAAAAGCAACATATATTAAAAACAGTTAAAGCAACTGCATACATAAAAACTTAAACACACATATGGTGTTTTTAATATATGTTGCTTTTTCACAGAACATACCTAAAATCAGCTTAAATCTACTACAGCAGGCTTCCTCAACCTCTGCCTTCCAAATGTTTTGAGACTACAGTTCCCATCATCCCTGACCACTGGTCCCGCTAGCTAGGGATCATGGGAGCTGTAGGCCAAAAACATCAGGAGGGCCAAGGTTGAGGAAGCCTGTACTACAGGTCCCAGCTGGGATAAAGGTTTCCATTTAGACGCCTTGTTGTCTTTAGCAGGTGCTGAAAAGACAATAGAGAATTGATAGGCAATCTGACATGCAGTGCGAGTTCCAAACAACAGGTGCTGCCACACTAAAGACCCGATTCTGGCATCGCTTGGAACAGGCTGTTAGTTTCTGTTTGCCACTGTGCAGTGTTTTGGAGTCACAAGACTCTGTTTTGCATTCCACACATTCCAGGCTGTTGGAAGTCTCGTGGAAGACAGGACGTTACTGGTTTCCTGTTCCTTTGTTTTCCAGTTGCTCTCTGCTCTCACAGAGAGAGGATGTATTTTTCTTTTCTGTCTGCGTAGCTAGAGAATAAAGCATAGCGATGTAGCCATAAATCTCATCACTTCCTCCTGCTTCTTTGATTCTCTGCTGAATGGGAATGTGCCTGGAGCCTCATCAAAGGATCAGGTCATTAATCACGTCGGAGGGCGATTCCGGAAGACGAGCTTTATCAGCTCAGTCGTAGCGGAGATTCCGACACAGGCCTCCTAATAGGATGGCACCTGAAAGTGGATCTAATTCTAGGTGATGAGATGACCTGTTAAGGTTCATAGACCCAAATTGTCTGTGGCTTTGCATGCCAATCCCTGCACCCACTCAGTTTGGAGCAGTCCTTTTGGAGCTCTTCACAGTTTCTTTTCGTTTTAACAGCTCAGTACTTTAAACAGCACCCGCGGTGCCTTCCCTGTGGCCTGTGCAAAACTAGTAGACACTGAACAGTTTTAACTTTTTTGAGCTCTTGTTCTGCCAGTGCTGGACCGTGTGAAAACTGAGCTCTTCAACAAGTTGGAGTCCAACCAAGAACTGCTGAACCAAATCAACGGCCAGTTGGATCAGTACAGTTCAGAACTGATGGACCTGCGAGATGCTCTGAATGAAGCTGTGAATAAAACCCGTCAGACGGAGGACCTCAACAGCCTAAATCGTAATCACCTGGAGGAGACCCAGGTACGAGGAGGGAGCTGGAAGTGCTGAGGGAGCCGCTCTGCCAGAGGGAATTTCAGAGGGACTGCCACATACAAGGGGGTTCTGTATTCTAGCATTGGTGGCAGAAAGAGATGCATTGATAAGCCACTCAATGGGAAACCACTGCAGGGGAGACCCTGTCCTTTCCCCATACTCAGCCAGTGACAACCAAACGCACCTTTCAGTACTGGACCAAAAATGCTTTACTGCTTCCACAGGTTCTATTTTCAGGCTGCAAAAGAGGGCTAGCAGATTTGGGAATTCTTTCAGCAAATGGGGAAAACACATAGTTTTCAAAGAGCAGAGGGCAAATGTTGGCAGTAGCGTTTTGTTTCCTCCCCTCTCAGTCGGTCATAATGCCTTTCTTTGAATCACACCATGACTTAGCAGCAGGGTGGATAAAAATCAATGATTTAAAATAAAATAAAATAAATCAGATTTTTTAAAAATTTAAATCAGATTTTTTAAATTTAAATTGGATTTTTTAAAATTTAAATCGGATTTTTTAAATAAAGTGCTTTTGGAGGAAAAATATTTCTAAATATAGTTTTCTGTTTAAGTTACATTATAGTCCAAAGGCTATTCATCAGGAAATGAGGATTTAAGTTTTTCATGTGTGCTAAAACTCAGTTTAAGTTTTTATTTAAAAAAACCCGTTTAACAACATCAGTTCGCAAACATGGATACATATGCTATAATGTTATTGTTTTAGTTAAATAAATTGTTTAAATTGTTATTCAGGAAATTATTATTTTTCTCCTTCCGATAAGGTACCGCAGAAAGGTTGTCCAAATATAAACAGTTAACTTATTAAACCTCACAATAATCTCATAATTATCTGTCTATGTATTTCTAATAGTATAATCAAATCAGTAATTTTTTATATAACTGTAAAAGTGACTCTGAAAATTTATTAATCCAAAAATGAAACCTTCAGCTGGTTGTAAATATTAAGATTATACCAGCAAGAATGAGTCTTTCTGTAAAAAGAAAGAAAGAAAAGATTTAAATCAAGGCTTACTGACTAGTGATTTAAATTGTGATTTAAATTGATTTGATTTAAATCAAATCCACCCTGCTTAGCAGCTCAATGGATCTCTGTCTGCACCAGCAAAGTGTAACTTTGCTTCCTGAGGCCCCTCAGTTGGCTTTCCAAATGCAAGCTGGATTTCTGCCTGCCGTGTCTTTTAAAAGTCATGACTCCATGGTGCTAGTTTTTAATGTTTTGAGGTTAGCACTCTGAGGCAACTTGGCCATCTCACAGGTAATTCAGCGAGTGAGAGGGAGACTTGTCGGGACGTGCAAATGCAATTTCCCCCCTCGTAGGAGAGAAAATCTGCTTTAAAAATGTGATTCGAGTGAAGAAACTGTAGCTCAGGTGCAAATTGAGATTCAAATTATCTGGCGTCATTTTCTTACAACATTCTAAGGACTGCCACAGGCCTGAAATGGCACAGGTGGCACATTAGAGGAAATTAACTGTGTCTGTTGGTCACATGCTCATGGAAGTTTTATGTGACCTCTGTTAATTACGGACAAATAGATGTGCCAGTTTGGTGGTGGAAACTCTTGGCTCATGACATTTCCAAGGAGACTGCATTATGCATCAATTCAGTGTAGGGACTTGAGATGAAAGGTGTTCTGGGGCTAGGCTGGTTCTGCATCCTGAAACAAGGGGGTGAGAATCATGGAATTGCAGAGCTGGAATTGGACCCCAAGGGCCATCCGGTCCAACGCCCTGCAATGCAGGAATCTAGCTAAAGCACACATGATAATCTGGGAAGTGTGTGCCATTATAGAACCACTCTATTCCATGTGATGAGAACCTTAGGAAAGAGTTAAAATGATTCTGGATTTTAAAGTTAAGCTGCAGCAGTCAATGTTATGGGGCTATCTATATATTACAGCAAAAGAGCAAGGAACTGCAAGAACAGTTTGGCCTTGTCCGGGATACCTTGCGCATGGCTGAAGATTCCCTTGCCCAGGTCTCTGATTTCCTGCAGATAATAGAAAATGCCAAGGAGGTGAGTGGTGCAAAACTCGAGGTTCCCAGCAAGTCTGAAAGGTGTGTGTAGACAGGAGATTCAAGATGCTGCTGCTTGCTAGGCTGAGAAGAGGAAGCAAACAGGACAGACAGGATGAATGTGTTGCAGCAGACAGAAGAATAAGAGCAGACATCCTCTAATTCCAACATGGTGTCTGCCCTCTTAAGAACTACAGGACAAACTTTGTTCCTAAAATGATGATTGCCTCTTGTGGCAATCCCAGCCAGCTCCAATTCCCTACTTTTTCCCTTTGGGTTGTGACGAACAGGTTACTCTTGCCTGCACAGTTCAGCAGTGTGTCAAATTCTTCATGTTTGGATATCCTTTATAGGGATCCTTAAGTTTCCACATAGCTCTAGCAAGCTGGGGTTTTTTACACCTTAGCCTCCAGCGAGGCATTCCAGTTTGTTTGTTTGTTTCGTGTGTAATGTTTTTGAACAGTTTCTAGATACCATCTGGAGAACACCTGGAAAGATAAAATAGTGGTATATCATCAATGCACCCTGTGAAACCCATTTGCACACAGTGGGTTTTTTTTTTACTGAAAACAAGCAGAGTGGAGGAGGTCATTCAGATGTTTGATAGTGCACAAAAAATGTCTCCAGTCCTACTGAAATCCATCTCCTGCTAGAGAAAGAAGGGATTGGAGAAGCAGGACTTGCAAGGTTAATGAATGCTGGCCAACGCCCCTTGTTATCCTGTAGGAATCTGAGAAGTTAGCAGCCCAGCTAGATGGTGCCAGATACCCCTTGTCAGAGAAGGCAAAGGAGTACTCTCTCGCTAGCACCAAGATCCCAGTCGTTGAGGCAGCTGAAGAGCATGCAAAGCTTCTGGATGAGCTAGCAAGAAACTTGTCCAGGTAAGGCCTCCTCCTTTGTTGCTGGGCCTTGAGCTCTCATTTCCTAGCTCAAATGGACTTCTGTGCTGGGAGTCTCCTTCTAATAA